TTTTTTGGCGATTTTGAAAAATCTCAGCGGGCTGAGCAGAGCCCACAGCTGGGCTGCTGGGACCCTTCTCGCATCCTCCCAGTGCTCCCAGTCCGGTCGCTGGGTGGCGGGTTTGAGGCAGGAATAACAGGAGAGCGGAGGAGTGTGTGTGTGTGGGAGAGTGGTCAAGAAAGTTGCCACTTGCGGCTCTTTAAAAAACGCTGCTGCTCCGTGATAGACCCTTTTTGGGGAGCCGGGGGAGTCCCTGGTAACGGGCTGGGGTGGCAGTGGAACAGGCAGGTATTTGGGGACCAGCTCATAGGGCTGTACTGCTCACACAAGCCTCCTTTAAAAACATGGAGAAGGGGAAGCACAGGGATTGATCCCATTCCCCCTTCGATCCTCCCATCCCTGCCCGTGCTGGTGGGCGAGTCCCCCATCCCATCATCCCATCCCGGTTTGGGGTTTCCCATGGGCTCCGTTGATCCCTCGCTTTGTATTCCTATTTCTCTCCCCGTCGTTCCTCATCCCTAGGCAGGAAGGAGCGGCTTTGAAGTTACTCCTAAGCTCTCCCTGATGGGCAGGGGAGGAGCTGAGCCCCTTTCTCTGCCTTTTTCCGGGAGCCTCGGTGGGAAATGTTTCCAATTAAAATTCCAAAATGGCTCCTCGGCGCTGTCTGGCGGCGCGGGGGGAGGAAGAGGGCGAGGACGAGCCTTTTTCATGAATGGATGTGGCAGGAAGCTGTCTGTCCTGCTCAGTGACCCCGCCACAACCGCCGAACCCGCTAACGAAGTTTCCAGGAGCCTTTTCTAATTAGACCATTTGTCAGTGTCATATCCCGATGGCTGAGCTCCGGTTTAATATTGCCTGGAAAGGAGGTAGATCGGTGGGGTTTTTGCTTCCCTACCTCTGCCTTCCTTCCCAAGCCGCTGAGCCGAGGAGCCAGAGAAAAAGACTTAAGGGAAAATACGTAGAGTCACATCCCTCTGCACTCCTGATGTGGTTTGGGTGAAGAGCAAACCTGTGATGTTGCCCTGTCACAAAACGTGTTTGTTGTGATAAAATAGCTGTGAGGATCACTCTTTGGCAAAACTTTAGGGTCTTTTTTTCTGCGTGAAGATGTATTCTTTCATTGGGGTTTGGTGGTTGTTCTTGATTTATCTTTTCAGACACAGATACTTTTGTGCTTTCCTATCTAGGTGGCACAATAGCTCTTGCCTGAACTGCCCCAGACCCATATTTTTGAGAAACTAAACAAGGCGAGATTGTCTCTTGACACTGATTTTATTTTTGGATGTTTATTTCTTTCGTGGTTGAGATTTGGCCCCTGTTTATCACCAGCAATATCAAACTGTAAGAAATACTCTTTGGTTTCTTGGGACCCGTTTGCTCAGTAGCAGTTTGCCCAGGGAAGATGGGGGAGCGGGGGAATGCCTTTCTTGGTGTCAAGTTGAAGGGATACCAACTTTTTGCTGGCAGAGACTTTCAAAGTAACATGCACATGTGTACAGGTAGAAGAATTTCCCATTCTGAAGAATAAAACATCTTTTTCTCTCGGTCTCTCCCCTTCCCTCTCTCCCTTCCCTCTTCCCAGGTGGCTTTAACAAGTTTCAGACCGAATATTCTGAGCACTGCGAGACGAACCTCGACAGCTCCTCGCCCAGCAACTCTCCCCCAGCGTCGGTCCTTGGCCTGGGAGGGCTGCGGATAAGTTCCGACTGCTCGGATGGCGAATCCGACAGGGAACCCAGCAGTGCCACGGAGTCAGATGGGAGTCCCATCCCTAACAATCAGCCTGCCTTTCCGGTCCAGATCCTACCTTACCTGTACCTGGGCTGTGCCAAAGATTCGACCAACTTGGACGTCCTGGGCAAATACGGCATTAAATACATCCTGAATGTGACTCCTAACCTGCCAAACATGTTTGAGCATGACGGGGAGTTCAAGTACAAGCAGATCCCCATCTCGGATCACTGGAGCCAGAACCTCTCGCAGTTCTTTCCCGAGGCCATTGCTTTCATTGGTAGGTAGTTGGCAAAACATCTCTTTTCACACTCACCGCTTGGGAATGTGGTGTGCCGCTTCCCAGGGCTGTTGCTCATCCCCAGCCTCACCTCTCCGGGGCACGGCATCGGCACCAGCAGCAGCTTAGCAGCTGAGTGTCGTGCTGCCAAGGTGGCACTTCTGGTGTGTGTCACCCTGGCTGGGTTCAGGGAGGCCTCCCCTTCCCAAATTCAGCCCTCTTGCAGCACCTCAGCTGAGTTACCTGCAAGTGGTCGGACCGGCCCCGCTGCCTCTTGCCCTTGTATGGGGATTTCCACTTGAGAGAAATGGCTGAACCCAGGCTCTGGGGAGCTCCTTTGCCTGCTTTGCTTGGAGGAATGAGTGTTGATGGGAGTTGCATTAATGTGACTGGTGCCAGCGATTCCTTAGCCCCAAGTGTGGTTAAAAGTGTGTGTGTGTTTTCCCAAGGGGATTTGCTAGTCTAGTTGGGATCCTGCTGTAAGTCACCCTAGCATAACTAACTCCTTGTATGGATACTTCTCCTAAGGTAAGTGTCAACACAATGAGTTAGTGATTATAATTGTACTGCAGAGCTCAGATAGAAAAGCTGCTCTGCAGACAGCCCCCGAGACAGCTTTGGCTGGTGGGGGGGGGTGGTACAGGGAGGCAGGTCTCTTCTCTCAGGCTGGTCTTGACTTTGAAAATTGCTTCTTATTCTGTGGGAAGTGTGTGTCAGGCTGATACACTTCCAGCCTGACCTGTGCTGTTTGCTTGTGACAGTCATTGGTCTAATCAGTTCTGTTTTAGGGGGGTGAATGGCACAGGTAGTAATACCCCCGTTAACTATTAAAAGCCCCATGGATTCATATCTGATTGAAAGCACTGATATAGATAAAGGAGAGGGAGGACCTTTACCTTCAGACTGAAACCTGTGCAGCCCGTTTCAGTGCTGCTTTGTTGCCCTAGTTTCAGACCCCAGTGCTTGTGCTTGCTGTGCCGTAAGGCCTGAAATGGGGCAGAGCAGTAGGAGATCCTTGGCTGCTCTTCAGCCTTCGGAAGCCCTGGTTCCCACATGCTCTCCTTTGCTCCCAGCTTCTGACCTCTAGTAATACGGTTGTGGTCAGAAGCAGCTGCTTCAGTGTGGCAACAGGGACCCGTCTGATGTCCCGTCCGCACTTCCTGCGCTGAGCGTGGTGTGAAACGTCAGGGGTGAGGTACCGGGTTCCTGCTGACATGTGGCATTTGGGATCCCTCTGCGCCAGTCAGTCCCTGTCTCTGTGCACACCGAGCTTGTGCTTTCCAGTTAATGACAGGAAATGGAGGATTACCTCACTCTAAACCCAAACACCAAGAAATGCTGTGCAGGTCAGATGAAAGGCAAAAATGTCTGGAAAAATGTTGAATAGCAGAGCCTTTGAGGAGGGCTGGGTACACTGGAGGGTGACTGCCCACCATCCTGGAAATTCTTGCCCGGTTTTGGAGGCTGGGCAGAAATTCTGTTGTGGCTTGAGTCTGGATTTTGTTTTGCCTGCATCCTCCTTGCCCTTCCCTGCACTTGTGGTGCCAGAGTGTCTCTTACCTCTGGCTTCTCCCAAGGATCCTTTTTCTCCTGCCACCTTCTCCATCCCCGCCAAGCTCTCAGTGAAATGACTGACTTCAAATAGGGCTGCCCAGAAGTAAGCAGTGCTGGGTACTTGCGTGCATTCAGTGCTCTCAGTGGCGTGTCCCTCTTTCAGCACTAAGATGTCAATTCATAAAGGGATCACGCTGTTCCGGCTGTGCGAGAGACAATGAGTGTGTGTGTGCTTTTCAGTCGGTGGCAAGGGAGGGGAAATTTCGTCGCTGTTCTCTCGCCATTTTTTGGTCCAGCCTGCATTCCTGCTTCCCGCTACCATTCATCCTGAGAGTCTCCTCCAACACAAGCGTTTGTTTGTAGTGAAGTGCATTTCTGTCGATCCTAAAGAACAATTTCACAATAAGGGAAGTTCCTGCACTTCAGACTCTTACTTAAATTGGCCTCAACTACGTTCATGTAACTTTCTAGTGGAGGGAGGACAAGAACAGCAGAAGAGAATAGTAGCTCATGTGCTGCTGGGCTGCAGCCTTGCATTGAGCGCACAGCCTTCCCCAGTTAGTTGGTGTTGAGGTGGGTGTGCTGTGCCCAGCCACCAGCATCTCCCTGGAGCTGTTGTCTCCAGCTCCATCTGCCTCCTGTGGGTTACTCCAGCTCTCTGAATAGAGGACACTGATGCTCCCTAGGCGAGGGATGTGTTGCTAGACTTGATTCATACTTCTCAAGCATGTGAGATGCTTGGCCTTGTTGGGGATGTGCAGCTTTGCCATGCTAAACAATAGATATTCCCGAGTGGGAAGAGATGTGGGTGTCAAAGGGACATGAGATGGTGTCAGTAGGAGCAGGGGATCCAGTTCTGGCAGTCGTCCTGGTCTTAGGAGCTCGCAGCTGCCACCTGGCCCTGCTCCAAAGCCGTGCGTTTTTGGTGCAGAATAATAGACTCCCCCTTCCCCTTGTCTTGTTTCAGATGAGGCCCGTTCCAAGAAGTGTGGGATCCTTGTTCACTGCCTCGCTGGCATCAGCCGGTCCGTAACAGTCACTGTCGCCTACTTGATGCAAAAACTCAACTTGTCCCTGAACGATGCCTATGACTTTGTGAAAAGGAAAAAATCCAACATTTCCCCAAACTTTAACTTCATGGGCCAACTCCTGGACTTTGAGAGGACTCTGGGACTCAACAGCCCTTGTGACAACCGCTCGCCCAGTGAACAGCTCTACTTCACCACCCCCACCAACCACAACCTGTTTCAGCTGAACACCCTGGAGTCCACATGAAGAGGACACTGCCTGGTCGGGAACTCGAGCATCGAATCGCTTCTCTTGAGCATTTCAACTCTTACGAAAAATATCTGTCTTGCCAGGCAGCTCTGGAAGGAGTAGCTTCTCTGGGCAGAGGTGCCTGATCGCTGCTTTAGGAAGGCTAATGCCGTTCACTAGTATCCTGATCCAAGTGGTTCCAAGAGGTAGTGTTTTTACAGGGGGTTATTTAATACGGGCGATGTTACAGCATTTTGAACGCAGCTGTCACCGGCAATAACCGCTTTCCTGGGTGCATTGGGACTGTCAGAACACGCACACGTGTGAAGAGCTACCAGGGGTTAGCTTGCTGTGGAAAATAAGGAGATTTATGCACTTGGAAACCGTGAACAAAAGGTGTTGGGCCAAGACTGTTTTAAAACCCAAGTTTACTTTTTTTGATTTTAAAAAAAGCAAACAAAAAAAAGGTAGATCTTACTCGAGCTTTGGGTTCAAACTCTTTTTAAATATGTAAGTTCCTGACTGTTTGTACAGACGAGGTTGCAAAACCAGTATTTTATTCTGTCTCTTGTTTGATCATTTATTTTTTTTTTTTTAATCAAATGTTTATATTGACCAAATGCATTTTGCACACTTTGTGAAGCCTTGGTATGTCCTGGCATATTACTGGGTACTCCAGAGAGAGATACATGCTGCTGCTGTCGTTGTTAGCATCTAGTAGGAAGCTTTGTTATGTGTGAAGGCCAGTTGGGCTTAAACGCAACCCCTTCACCACTCCTGCACTCACAATCACAAACTCTGCACTGATTCAGCCAAGGTGACTAAGCCGCAAGCTTTCTCTTTT